GTGAAGTTGAAAATCAACTTAACAAGAAAATTAAAATAGTAAGGAGCGATCGTGGGGGAGAATACGATGGCCCCTTTGAGGAATTCTGCATAAAGTCTGGTATCATTCACCAGACATTCATCTTTAGGAATGACAATTGAACGATGCTTTGGAGTCTTGAAGAACAGATTTCCTATTTTGAAGCTAATGCCTCCATATAAACCTTCTAGGCAGCGACTCATAGTGATAGCATGTTGTGCTATTCATAATTATATATGCAGGTGGAATTTACACGATGATTTGTTTAGAATGTGGGAAGACATGAATCCTACTAAAACAGAGGCTATGAATGAGACTTCTAACCTTGAGGGAACGAGCTTGAATGATGATAACTTGTCAAGGTTATCTGATGAAGGTGCAGCGAAAACGACAGCATATCGTGATCATATTGCAAAATGGATGTGGTCACAATGTAACAATTCTGCAATGTAGTTTATCTTATTTGATTTGTTAAATAATAGATTTTACTTTTGGATAATCAATTTTCAAGTGACTCAATGTTTTTATGGACTTGTTATTAGTGCACTAAACCCTAACTCATTTTTGTAAGTGTTGCTTATTAAATATATTGGTCTTTGACTAGATTAACTTTGGTTTGTTACAATTATAATACATTGACTGATAGTAATTTATATAGTAATCTTGTGGAATATATCAAACTTAAAATGTTTGTTATGGTTTGCATTGATCTTAGAAAAGATTTGTAATATGATTTTTTTATCTTAAAAATACATATAAGTTTTTACATATAATAATAGAAATTATTTTAAAAAAATAGCAATCAAATGAGTTTTTTATTTTTTTTGTTCTAAACACATGTTCTTGGAACAAATTTACCAAGCGGGTTTTTTTATTCTTTAACTTTTAAAATTGTTTCCAAAACAAATTTATCAAAAGAATTTTTTCCTGTTTTTATTCTGAAAATCAATTCTTAAAAACTATTCTACTAAACAATTTTAAGAACAAAAAGACTAAAACACAATCAAACCTAGATATTTGCCTTCAAAAATAGAAACTTTTTATGTTAAAATAAAGAAACATCATGAAAATTAATACCAGACAAAGAAAAGTGCGAAATCCGTATAATATAGATTGACCTTGGCTAGGTCAGCGATAGCATTCAGATAATATATTCGAGTTAATAGAGACAATAAAACAAACCTATATTGGTTTGAAGATAAAACTCGAAAATATATCCGAGTTCATAAATAGAATAAGTCTATCTTGGTTCATAGATAGAACTTGAAAATATATCTGAGTTCATAAATAAAATAAACCTATTTTGGTTTGAAAAACTCGAAAATATATCCGAGTTAATAAAGTAAATAAGCCTAAAAATTTAGGCAAACAAAATGATATGATAAAAAGTCACCGCGAAATATTAAAATAAGATAAAAAAAGCAGGGGCTTAAATAATAAAGTCATCGCGAAAGAAGCAGAGCTCAAATATTAAAACATCACAACAATGTGAGTCGGATTCAAAAAAGTGAATTTCGTCAAAATGACTTTGATCAAGTCGAAATCTGTGAAAGCCACGGTATGCGCAGCCGGGTTAAAACAGAAGGCGATATCGCTAGGAGATTCTGGCAAACCAAGTGTGAAATAAATAAGGTTGCCGCATACAAAACCAGGCTAATATAATCACGGAGTTAGGCTAGTGAGCCAAGTCAAAGAGAATCAAAGGCAATGGCGAATGAAGTCAAAAATAATCAAAGGTCATAGCGAATGAAGTCAAAAATAATCAAAGGCCATGGCGAATGAAGCCGAGTTTAGATAAAAAGTTACGGCAAGAGAAGCTGGGCTAATTATAGTAAGGAGGAATTCAACTCTGCAAATGAAATATGCACAGAACCGGGAGCAAAACCCATCAATATCAGTGAAAAGGGGATCAAAAATCCTCAAATCAGCAAAAAAGACAAATTACAAAAGCAAGTCGGTATTCCGACATACAGATACTCAGATTAAAATAAAAAATATAATATGCGCTCTGGCAGCCTGGACACCCAGACTGCCGGACTGGGGGGTAAGTGCAGGAATGCAATCAAAATTGAAGGAGGAGAGTAGCAATTCTCATAAGTCAAGATCTCGGTAAGACAGTTAAAAAGACTGGTCAACTAGTCCGAGCTAGTACCTCGGCCAGAAAGGTTGAAGGAAGAATATTGAAATAGCATACTCGGTACTCGGCTAATGAAGCTCAGCACGAAAGAAAGAGCGAAATAAGAAAAAAAAATCAGGAACACGGATCGACAAGAATCCATGGATTCAAAACATGGATCAATGAATCAATAAGACCCCGACAAAGAGGTCAAAGGAAAAAAATTTCCATTTCTAATAAAGGCCTCAGTCACGAAAGTTTGACCAACAAGTTTGTAATTCAACATGCTTCGCTTCGAATACTCAAGCTATGGGATAGGGAAGCAAAGGAAAATGTCTGGGGTAAGAATTCAACATAACAAGATGGCTGAAGCCATACGTCACAGATCAAAGGCTAACAAGGCTCGGTCTAAGAACATGGCTGAATTCCAAACACGGAATAATAAAATATTCCCAAATGCGATCAAAAGCAATGCACAACGACCCAACTATACCTATCAGATAAAATAAAAGTTTAACATAATATACAGCCCGGACACCTAGACTATTGGGCTGGGGGCAACTATTATGAACCTGATAAAGGCCCAAGTAGGGCTAACGGCTAAGAGGAAATTAATGAAATATCCTTTAATTATACTAATCCTACTACAACAACAATGGATCAACAATTGGACCCCCAATACTCCTAAAAGGCCCAGAAGTCTACTCCTGCCAGGTAACTCATCTATAAATAAAGAGTTAAGCCAATAAGGTACACACTCTTGAAACCCTCTCTCTTTTAGCTGTCACTGTGCACATACCTCATGCCTTGACTATGTCGGTATATTATAGTACACAGTGATCCGCTGATTTCTAGGCTCATAAGTACCTGAGAGAAGGTAAACAAATGCAATATTAAAATACCAATCTCTGGTTGAACATCTCTGTCATGCAGACAAAACAGATTGTAAAGTGATGAGTTGTTATAGTTAACAAAAAACAACAGCATGATCATAGGATAGGAAGAGATAATGGGCTGATAGGATAAGGTTAAATTTGTATTTTAAAAATTTATATTATCTTTTAATTTCTGCTTTTTTCAAAAGCAACTAACTATTGGCTAAAAAAAAAGCATCATTTTAACTTTTATTTTAACTTTTGCTTTTTTAAAAAGTTGTTATCCACATATTTAAAATTTCTCAAAATGACTTTTTTTTTTTTAAAAAAAAAAAGCAATTTTTTTAAAAATAAAAGTTCATCCAAACGGACTCTTAATCTTTGTCGATTTATTCAAGACAAAGAATTGTTTTTTGGTAAAAACCAAAAAAATAAATAAATTATGGTTTCTTTTAACGTACGTGTATTCTGATATCCATATCTTCAATAGTATATTTACTTATTCTGATACCAAATTGGAACAAAATCAGATTAAATTGTATTAAATTTTCAATGTGATTATCCTTATCTTTGGACTTCTCCAATATTTCCATTGCAGCAAAAAGCTGAAAGTGAGTGGTTTCTTTGTCATCTCATTAGTGTTGACATTGGGAAAAAAAGGGGCAATGAAAAAACACCTCAAAACATCATTTGGCAATCACTGTAAATTATAATTCATGTGCCACTACCAATAATGCTATGGTCCACAGTCCATATCTGTGCAAAATTTGATCACTCCTTTTCAACCATATAAGAAAAGAGCACAAAAAGTCCAATACTAGTAGCACTAATTATAAAAGATTGAGTAAAATAAATATAATTAATGAATTACTTTTTTTTTTTTCAATTTTAGGACGAGATTTACTAATATGGGAGATATTTTTCCTCATGTACGTTTCAGTGTCCTTGTTTATAAAAATATTTTTTCCTCGCTTCTGGTTCATTCCAAATTTCCAATGGGTAATAAATGAGAGTTGTGTCTTTTTCTGGAGTAACGGAAATCCTTTCTTGATGATAACTTTTTAGTTATCGTGCAGTACACTTTGTTAAATTATAACACATTACTCATCTAAATGCATTTACATCTATTCTCTTCTAGCAATATTACTCTTATGCAATAAGAAATTTTTTTTATCTTACGTACATACATTGATACTTGTGCCAATTATTTTTATTTATTTTTTATTGGACCCCACTTTAAATTGAGTGTGTAGGAGATAACAAAATTTTATGTGACACGAGACTACAATTACCCATTCTCTTAATAACTTTTTCATTTGTAATGCTTAATTACTTTTCCATTCCTAATGCCACCTTTTTTCTCAGCCTATGCGTGACTCTTTGGCTAATCTGTTCTCATATTGTATGAGTGGAGAATTTGATTTGATTGGTTTTTATCTACTTTCATGCCAATTTGTGCATTTATAGTGGCTACACTAATAGCATTGATTACCCAGTTATTGATTAGGATAAATTTGGTATTTAAAAAGATTCGATTTGAAAATAGAGTAATATTTATTGTAAGAAAAATGAAATTTGAGTAAAAGTTAAGGAATTAGAATATTTTTTAATTAATTTATCCAATCATAGTAAATAATATAAGTATATAACTAACGATTTACTTAACGAGATTAAATATTATTGTGTCATCTCACTTAAATTGTCATTAGTTACGTCCACATCAATCACATAAATTAAATTATGTCATTGTATTTTACAATAATGTCATTGATAATGTATCAAAATATTTTTTTTTCAAAAAATAAAATGATTATATCATAAATTCATGACATAAAGTTTCGATAAATAAATTTTATGATAAAAAAACATTTAAATAGAGACAAAAGCAATTGAAGCGCGTGGGCCAGAAAAGGAACGCTAGAAAATATTGTGAAAACGCAGATAATAAAAGTCAAGGAATGGATTTTCCATTACGATCTTTCTTCGTCAGTTTTTTTCACATTGTTTGGTCACACAGAGACGAGTAGTTTAGTTAGAGAGAGAGAGAGAGAGAGAGAGAGGAAAGAGCGTGAAAAGACCAATTTGACCTTGGATCTTCATCTTCCTCTCTCTCGCTTCGCTTCGCTTCTGCTAACTCCTTCTCCGATTCGTTTTTCTGGTGAAGCTGTAACCATGAACGAGAAGGCCAACGTTACGAAGGAGCTTAACGCCAAGCACAAGAAGGTTTCTCCTCTTTTATTTTTGTTGATTTGAACATTCATGTACTCGCAATTTACCTCGGATCAATAATCGTTGATTGTCAGATTTTAATCCATCACTGTCCGCTATTTGTACATCAATGTTAGGATTAATCAATCAGGATATTGTGTGTTTTGGTAGTTTGGATCCTTTATCTGATGATGTACACACTTAGTTTCGCATATTTCTTTTTGTAGATGAGTAGGTGCTATTTGCATGCTTAGTGAAACACTGTGGAGCTATTGGAAGCTTTGCTAATTGGATTTTTGGAAATCTCTGTCGTTATTTTCCAGAATAGTCTAAACTTTTTGTGTGTGTGTGTGTGTGTGTGTTTTTAGTTGTTTGTTTCGGTAATTGTGAATTTATAATCTTAAGGAGGATATAATCCATGATGAAGAGAAAGGAAAAGACATTGTGCGGATCTTATTCGGTTTTTATAAAATTATGGTTTAGTATTCATTTATATTTTGAGCAAAATAAATAAATAAATAATTGAAGACTTAATTTGTATCTCATATGTGAACAAGGATCAAGTTCAGTTGATTGGGGAGGAGTTTTCCTTGCAGTCACAAGTGTCTGAATTCTTGATGTATGTTTATGAGTAATGTATATTTGAGATCCTTCATTTTTTCAAGATATGAACTTTAATTTGGGTTCTGGCCTTCGATGAATGTGTTTGTGTTCCAAACTTGTCACATTTTCTGTTTTCCTTTTCTTTTTTGATTACATCTTTTCTTTCTTTACTCTAACTATGCAGATACTGGAAGGACTTCTTAAATTACCAGAGAATAGGGAATGTGCTGACTGCAAAGCTAAGTATGTATCTGACTGGATCTGAATGATCCGATCTGGATGTCATGTCAGTAGTAAATCAAGCAAAGAGATACTAATTGGTTCATGAAATGTGGATTGTCTATGTACATCCATACATACATACAAATACATATATATACTACATATATACACACACATATAGTATATATATAGAGGTAGGTTATTCTTACACAAGTGTAAGAATAAGAAGTCTTACACTCACTTTTGGCCATTGATTCACTTGTATCCAATAACCCGCATAACTAAAAATGAGCTGTTACATAGATGTGTGTGTATATATATATATATATATATATATATATATATGATTTAGTGTTTCTCCTGTCATAGGATATAAAGTTATTTCCTGCAATCCCAAAATGATGTCATTTTGGGGGAAAAATGCATGATATTTTGGGAAAATCCATATTCCAAGAGAGAAGCAAAATTTCCAAAATGCCCTATATTTTTTTCTCCCAAACCCCAAAACAATGTTGTTTGGAGTTGCAAGAGATAACTTTATCTCCTAGGTAGGAGAAACATTTTTCCTATATACATATAAAAAAAAAAAAAAAACCACTCCCCGTCATGGTTGTTAGTATCGCACGATACGCGATACGTATCGTGCGATACGATACGATACGATACAGTGGCAAATCGATACGGATCGCAATAGCAAATCGTTTTTGGCATGAATCGTGATTTGGAATCGTGGAATTGAACGATTCAGTTGTGAATCGTGAATCGGAATTTTTTTGCGATTCAAAATATAAAAAAAAAATTAAAAAAAAACACTCAACAGTCGCAGGATTTGGAACGGTATGTTGTTATCTGAAAGGTTGTTTACTTCAGAAAGATCAGGGATTCAAAATTCCATTTAAAAAACAAAAGGAAACAAGAAGTCAAGAACAGAAAGATGCGAAGGTGCAAACAGAAGGAGAGACGACTTGCAGAGAGGTGCGAAAGCAACAAAACAGAAGCCTACTTGCAGAGAGGTGCGAACAGCGACGACTTGCAGTGACTTATAAGAAGGCAAAGGCAAAGGTATCTTAATACAAGAGGATGTCAACAGGAATGATAACAGAAAAGGATCTCAAATTATTGAACAAGATATGGGAGATGAGTCAGATGACTCTACTAATGGAGAGGTTGAAGGACTAGATATGCCAATACTAGATCCTGATAGTGATAGTAGTGATAATATTAGTCTTGAAATTTAATGAATATGAGAAATAACAGGTTTTAGATTTGGTTACTTATGGATTTTGGTATTTAGATTTTTTTTTAATTTGGATTTATAAGATATTATATATTTTTAAGTTATTTTTAATTTGTTTCTGAATCTTACGATTCGATACGATTCACGATTCACGATACATAAAAGCAGCCGAACGATTCACGATACGTATTGCGATTCAACAACCATGCTCCCCGTTAAACCCGACTAGCAAGTGTGGGGTGGAGGTAATCCTTGTACGCAGCCTTACCCTTGCATAATTGCAAAGAGGCTGTTTCCTGGATTCGAACCCATGATCTTTCAGTCATGAAAGAACAGCTATATATATATCTGTCTCTCGCTCTCTATGTGTGTGTGTGTGTGTGTGTGGTTCACAATGTCCACTCAACTTTCTCTGATAATTTACTTTGCAGAGGTCCAAGATGGGCTAGTGTAAATCTTGGCATCTTTATTTGCATGCAGTGTTCAGGAATACATCGAAGTTTGGGTGTGCATATATCAAAGGTTGGTATGGCGAGTCTGTTTAACTGTGAAATATCAGAAGAGAGAAATTGTATATTATGGTGACTTGTAGAAATAGAGTCTGGGAATTCGTTAATATAGAGTATGTTTCTGTGCTCTGCATGTGTTATAGCAATTGTAATGTGACTAACTGATTCTCTATATGATTCATTTTGACAGAGACTGCAATTTTTTTATGCTTATTTATCACACTTGCTAGCAATAACAAACAAAAGGTTTCTACATGAGTATCATCAATATATTCCTTCTTCATTTTTTATTTGTATATTAAGAGCCAACCCTACCTAATGGGAAAAGACTTTTGTTGTTGTTGTTGTTGTATATTTATAGGTCAGTCGTGGCTGCTGTAGGGCCTTTATTTGTTAATTTCAAGAAGGACTGTTACTTTGAAGAGTGCTAGGCTGATCAATAAATTTTTTGGTTGACTAAGTTTTTCAATATGGTTTTGTTAGTTTTCCATTTACAATCAAGTATTGGTACTGACTCAACTTGATGAGGGAATAACTAAAATATGGCTCCTAAGTCCTAAACGTTGACTTTTTATAGTAACTAAAGACTATTTCTTAATATCTAATCACATGTGCCAATAGTGTATTTTATATTTACTTGATGCCTTACCTTTCAGGTTCGTTCTGCAACTCTTGACACTTGGCTTCCAGAGCAAGTTGCATTCATTCATTGTAAGAGAATCTGAATGGTCATGAGCTTGTAGTTATTTTGAATTTTCTTTATGTGCATTAGTCATACAGTCAACTCATTATATATTTGAATTTCTTGTTTCGGTCCTATACAGCAATGGGAAACGAGAAAGCAAATAGTTACTGGGAAGCAGAATTACCTCCAAATTATGATAGAGTTGGAATTGAGAATTTCATTCGGGCAAAGTATGTATGATGATAAACACCTTGAATTTGGCTAAATTTTCATCTTTGTACTGTTTGAAGTGTATGAATCTTGTTTTGTGCGCCTGGTTTCACTTATTGCATATATTTAAAGGTATGAAGAGAAGAGATGGGTTCCAAGGGATGGGAATCCAAAAACACCTTCTGGACTGCGGGAAGAGAAAATTCCTTCACATAGGCAGAGACCTGCGGAAAGAAGTGGGCATGGTTATGCTACTATTTCTGAGAATACTTTTGAGGAAAGGAAGAAAATCCAACCATCAAATGCAATTTCTGCTACAAGAATTAGTATTCCTGCACCTACCAGAGCACCTGAGCAGGTAATCTTTATTTTTCCCCCCTCTTTATTTTATTGCTGTTTTACATGTGAACATTTTTTTTCTCTTGTTACTTGATGTTATGTTGCATTAAATGGGGAATTGCAGTTGTAAGGTCTGTTCTGCAATCAATGTCACGAGATTCTACTATTTTTTAGCAATAGAAGTAATTTAAGAGGGCCAATTGCATAGAGTCTTCTATTAAAGAATTTTTCTTATTATATATTTGCAGTAACATGTTAAATTATGCTGTTATGAGCAATTAACATAGATGATTCCTGCTGCTTCTTTTTTTAATAATGAAATTTCTTCCCTTATTCTTCTTTAAATTTGGGAATTGTTATTGTTTATAGTGTTTTGAAATTTATGAATAGGTTACTCCTGTTACCAAATCTCAGCTTGTTGAGAAAGCGGAACCAGTAGCACCACAACCACAAGCTGAAACATCAAAGCAGGTCACAGAAACAGCTCACAATACCCCTTCAAAAGTTGACTATGCTACGGACCTTTTCAACATGTTGTCTATGGATGGCCCAAGTGAAAATGGCTCAGAGGCAGCTGGTTCTACTGCTGATGATAATAACTGGGCAGGTTTTCAGTGTAAGTTTCTGTCCTTTTTTTTTGTAAAGTACACTATGGAACCACAATAGAAAGTGTTGCTAGACATTTTGTTTGGAAGATTTGAAGGTTCTATTGATTATGTTGTGTAGAACTTAGGTTGTAATTTCGTTGCTATAACTGTTTCAGCTGCTGCAGAGGGGTTGACAGCTGAGAAGACCAGTCCGCCGAAAGCTGTTGGGAGTACTCCCCAATCTGCATCTGGAATTGAGGATCTATTTAAAGATTCACCTTCTATGACACCAAGCTTAGCTCCAGAAAAACCACAGAAAGATGTGAAAAATGATATTATGAGCCTCTTTGAGAAGGTATGAGCCAATGCTTCAATTGGTTTATGTAAGATTATGGGGCAAAAAAATTAAAATATTATTATTTTAATAAATAATTACGAATACATAGCTGTTTTGAAACTATCTACGGATTTATTGCATTCATTCACGCCTAAATTAGGCGTGACTATTCACGCCCAAATTAGGCGTGACACCCAAGGCATTCACGCCTAATTTAGGCGTGAATCATCTAGTGTTCGTGGCAAAAAAAATCAACTTACGAACTGTAGAATTTTGGAAAACCATAACTTTTGACTCGGGTATCCGAATGAGGTAATTCTTTTTTTGATTCCACATAACTTTTCGAGATCTACGCAATGACATCTCATTTGATATATTTTATCTCTCACAAACACAATTCAAATTTCCAATAATTGTATTATATAGTGTATTATCAAAAAAATTTAAAAAATTATTATTAATAAGAAAAACAAAATAAAGATTTAATTTGTGATTTAAACTCAAAAATCAATTTGAAATATCTGTATTAATAAAGAAAATAATTAAATAAATATTCTAAACACACTTGGTAAAATATTATATAAATTTGTATATATTTTAATAATTAAATAAATAACCTTGTAAACTATTTTTTTTCAAACACTTGGTGGAAGTATATATTTTAATATGACATTAAGTATCCTTATTTATAGATGAGTTAATCCACTTTGGTGCCATCTTTATAGTATCATTGTTGCAAATTTGAATTGTGTTTGTGAGAGATAAAATATATCAAATGAGATGTCATTGCGTAGATCTCAAAAAGTTATGTGGAATCAAATAAATAATTACCTCATTCGGATACCCGAGTCAAAAGTTATGGTCTTATAAAGTTTTACAGTTAAACTATTAATTTTTTGTATCACGTGTTAACACCAGACGAGTCACGCCTAATTTAGGCGTGAATGCCTTGGCACGCCTAACTTAGGCGTGAATAGTCACGCCTAATTTGGGCGTGAATGAGTGCAATAGATTCGTATATAGGTTCGAAACAGCAACTTATTCGTAATTATTTATTAAAATAGTAATATTTTAATTTTTTTGCCAAGATTATGGAGTTACTTCTTTGACTTGATATGCTTAGTCTTATTTATTGAATATATATATTCTTATGAGAGCATTTGTTCCCATCTTGTCCTATGTGAGTTATTATCCAAGACAAGCAACAAGAATTTATTCATTGCTCTCTATCATCAAACGATTCCTTTTTTTCTTTTGGGTATTTGAACACGCTTTTACCTGACCAGTGAATTGGATATCTGCAGAGCAATATGGTATCTCCATTTTCTATGCATCAACAGCAGCTTGCAATGCTAGCACAGCAACAGTCTCTTCTTATGGCTGCTGCAGCTAAATCTACTGGTGGGGATCCCAAGTACCCTGCGGGTATACAACCACCTAGGCCCAATGTTCCTGTCCAAAATTGGCCAGCTACTGGCTACCCGATTTCTGGAGTAATACCCATGGGTGGTCAGGGAGAGCTTCAGAAATTTATGCAGGTAATTACTAAAGTAAGCCAAATGTTATTTGATGAATGATTCATTTTTATGTGTCCAGCAACTAATTTATTTCTTTTCTTCTTTGTGGGTCAGAATCAGACTACGAACATGACTCCAACACATCCAGCAGGGAGTTCTGTTCAATATCCACCCTCTAGGTATGTCATTAGTTAGTGTACTTAAAGCCAAGTTAATTTCAGTTTGGATAACTATTAGGGATTTAACTTGAATATTACCTGATGCTGCTTTATAGAATCTGAGTAATCGTTGGTTGATATTGGTGCCAATCAACTTCGTTTCCATTAGCCAAAATGAATGAGAGTTAGTTGTTGACTGTTGTACCAAAAGGCTATTTTGGGGGTTCTGTTTCCATTCCAACCATACTGTTGAAAATAGATCCTCTTTTTATATAGAGGCCTGTTTGGTTCAAGAAAATATTTTCTTTTTTCACTAGTAGTTACAAAAATGTTGCCTTGTTTTACTTTATTATGTGTTTTGAGAGATTTTGTACAAAAAATGGTGGAAACAAGCAAATTAATCCACGTTGTTTTTGCCATTTACTGTACAGATCTTTGAAAACAGTAAATAAAGTGAATTAGCTTAGAAGTAGGGAATTAGCTTAAATAGCATGAGAGGGTAGAAGAGGGAGATGGAGAATTGTTAGCATTTGGGAACTAAGTATTGGCTTGGTTGTGAAGGGAAAATCCTTAGAAGGAGAATTCTCTCCTTAGGTCTCTATTGTAATTCTTTCTCTTTTTCCTTTTTTTCGTTTTTCTCATATCTCAATGAAAACTCAGAATCTGTTTCTGGGTTCCTAATAGGGAGTAGTAATCAGTTAGAATATTTTTGTTTGGGTGGTTAAAGTTGTTGAAGTTAGGGAATCAACTTAAATTGGAGATAGGTAGAAGAGGGGGAATGGAGATTTGTTAGCATTTGGTAACTGGGCATTAGCTGTATTATGAAAATTTGCGAAGGGGAAACCTTTGGAAGGAGAATTCTCTCCTTAGTTGTCGATTGTAATTCAATAAAACATTACAGAAGAATTCTTTCTATTTTTCCTTCTTTTTCTCATATCTCTCTCGAAAAACTCAGAATCTATGTCTAGATTCCTAACGGCATTTTTGTAATTATTAACAAAAACAAAAATTAGAAATAGAAAAGATTTCCTTGAACCAAATAGGCCCTAGAATTTTCATTTTGTAATTGAGGGTGGTGCCATTAGCATTAGAAAATTAATCAGGTAAGTCAAATGGAAGTATTGCTGCCCTTTGTGCTGCTCTGAATTTAATCTTGAATGCAAAGGCTATCCCCCCCCCCCCCCCTGCAATGGCATGCCAATGGGGCGTTATTTTGTTCCAAGAACTTCCCATGAATTTACCTGTATTATGGCATCTTTTGCTGAAGATTATCTTACAAACCGGGCATTAATCTACAAACCATGCAACAAACGTCTTATACTATTTCATTAATCTTAGTCATCGATTATTTTATACATTATCTACAGTGTCCTTGTTCATTAAAAGAAACATGTAAGCATGTTTTTTCACTGGTGATTACTACTGTTCTTTTCTTTATCTGTCCTTCTATCCTGTTACCTCTCTACTGCATCAAATCTACTGCATGTACTGTCAATATCCTTCCTTTTTTATTTGTGTTAATCAGGTTACCATTTGTTGCAGTTTCTATGCTATGGGGCAAGTTGCTCCAGTCAATGGTATGATGACAATGGGAGTGAGTAAACCTCATTCAGCAGCTCCGGTGTCATCATCCACTTCAAAGTCTACTAAAGAATATGATTTTTCCTCCCTAACGCAAGGGATGTTTGCGAAACCCTGATTCGTCTTTTGTTGGACATTGCCAGCTATGTCATATACCATACAAGATTAGTTGAAATTAGAGGAAGTGCACTTTCTTTTTCAATCTTTCCCTTGACCTTTCCGTGGGTTGTAAACTATTTGTAGAGCTAGTTCAGTTTTTACCTCGTTTATTTCAGGTGATTGTGTCATTTGTATCGGTAGGTGTATTCAGTATTCACAATAAAAATTAGTGATATTAATTATATATTCCTTCCTTTGCCTCTATATCTTCCATAATTGTAAACATAATTTTCATGTTTGCTCTCTTGTCTTACCATATAAATTTTATCCTAAAAATGTGGAGGATATTCTAAATTTTAATATTTCATTTATTTATTTATTTATGCGTTCTTAAGTTTGTGCTTATTAAGAAGCTTTTGAATTATAAATCTTGCTAATTGCTCATAAATGTAGCCTGTGCGTGCAATTGTGATTGCAGTCGTGTCAGGATACTTTTTCAATAGGTTTGGATATTTCTAGCTTATTTTACTGATTTTGTGTTAATAATTAGACAATATTTTATTATGTCTGTAATTGATGATTTTATTTGAATTTACGATATATGTATATTTGTTAATATTATATTAATTTTATATATCTGATCTTAATTGTGTATTGTTTTATGATTTTAACATATATCATATTTGCATTTTTTATTTTTTTTGGTAACTCATATTTACATATTTATGTATGTGTATTATTGTATTATATATTTATTTAATTTTGTTTATTCATGCTTTTTCCTAGTCATTACTATGCCAATTCTTTAGTTTGCAAAGATAAAGAAAAATGTTTATTACACGTTATCCTTTCTCTTACATTTACGGAACTGGATCTTTGGAATTTCTTTTACAACTGTAGAAGACGCCGATAATAATTTGAAAGTTGAGATTGCATGAATTATTTTAATCTTTTAATATTTTATTATAAAAAAATACTGTTTTTAAGGTCAGGATCTCACTTTGAAATCTGCAGAAACCCTCATCCAACATTTATATAGGTGATAAAGTAGTATAAGTAAATCAAATGATAAAAGTTATACAAATATAAAATGATGCGTACATAAATATTAGTATTAGTTGGTAGATTAATATAGGTGAATCAAACGATGAATATTTGTATAAATAATGTCATGCACGCTGGTTTTTGGTGAGACGATTTCGATCGATTGACGCGAATCAGAATGCTAGAATGTGCAAATATATAAAGAGCAAGAAAAGTCCCTTTTAGACCCGATGGGTGCAGCTCAGTTGGTAACTTGGCGCTAAGTTAGTGGGGTTAGATATGTGTTTGATTCCCGCTGAATGCATTCTTGGGGAGGGGGCTGAACCTTTAGCCATCACTGTTCCCCCGCACTCCGGATTAGTCTCATAGCCGGCTCAAAGAGTCGAAGCTCGTGGAAATACCGGAGGGAGCCAACTCGTCTCAAAGAGATAATTAGGGTTGGGTAACTCAAAAAAAAAAAAAAAAGTCCCTTTTAGAGCAAAAAGTACTTATTACAGTTCTGCAAATTGATACAGCTATCACTAGAGAACACTATCTTAGGCTGAGATTAATGTTGAGGTAGATAGCAGCTAACGCTGGGAGTGCTTTGAGTTTCTATAAAGTTGTTGGAAAGCTTGTGTTAAATAATAATAAAAAAATTAAGGATTTTATAATTTTCATTTTAAAAGAAAATTGAAATCTCATGTTCTAGAGATAAAAAGCATGTGAGACCTATGTGTTAAAAAAAATTATATGTAGAACCCATGTCAGCACAGAAATCGAAGGGTGTGTAAGAAAATTTTAATTCTCATGTTAAATGAGAATTATAAAACCCAAAAATTAAAATGAGTTTGTGGGTAAAATATATAAGTAAAGGGAAGATCAGTTTATTTTGCATGTTGATCTCACTTTTTCCTATTTATTCTATTTTTTTTTTTAATTATACGAGTTATTATATACAAAATTGATAGAGTAAGACTTCATATTTTTATATCAATGTAAGAATTATCTGCCCTTTAATAGAAATATATTTTATCTATCAATTCAATAAATTAACATTGTGGGAAATATTATGTCATTACTACTAGTCTTATAGAAGATAAATATAATTTTTTAAAGTAATTTTCTCCGCTAAAACATTACTTGATGCCATATCTCAGGACTATGTAGATACTAATGTGTACCCATTATAACTTGCATCATGATTTGTTATGAATTATTCATAATTTTAATTTTAATTTTTTTTAGATAAGGTTAATTATAATAAAATAATAAAAATTTTAAAAAATGTAAAATAATATTGGTATAAAAAAATATTTAGCATTATCTTTTAATTTACACCGCATTTTATTCTCTTCAATATTAGAGAGATATATGCCACAAGAAATTAAAGTTCTCTTTAGCTTAGTCATGATATTATATTATGATTGTATTAATTCAAACCAATCCATTTCAATTAACATAGTTTTGTTAATTTTTATGAATTTTTTCAATCAATCCAAACTAAATTAATCTGACCAAAATCAAATTACTTTTAAATCAAGTTTTTTTATTTCATTCATCCTAATAAATATCTTCGATCATAATTAGGGGGAATTTAGTTCGATGGATATTTTTTTATCTATTCATCCTAACAAGTGTGAATATTCTCAATAAACACAATTATTTTATTATGCAGGTTAATACGATAAAAATAATTTATCAATTTTATTTTTGGATGAATATCATATAAATAAATTAAAAATACTAAATAAAATAATGTAAGTGAAGTAAATATATGATTATGTATTTTTTAATTTAAACAAATTAATTGTAACAGGATTATAACACTAACGTAACATGGGTGTAAATGAGCTAGGTCAGCCTACAGGGATCTTCGGCCTAGCCTATATTAGATCAGATTTGGCCTATTACAAATAGTAAAATAGAACAGGCCTAGGTTTTTAAAAATATATATTTAGAAAACAAGTCATATGCTTTTTTGTACATGTCGGGTCTATAAGTCTACAGGCCGGCATATAAGCTTACAAGTCGACCTATATCATATTATTTATTTTAAATAAAATAAATAAAATTAGTATTTTAATAATGTTGAATAATAAAATAATATTATTTTAATTATTCTTTTAATTGCTGAATGTTTAATAGGCTTAAACAGGCTAATAGACTTAGGTTAAAGCTTTTATTTTTAAATATAGGTCAGGTCAAATTTATAATTTGAGACCTACACAGACTAATAGGTCAGATCAGATTCAAAAAAATCTACACAATCTAAACTTATTTAAGGCAAAGCTTAACTTAACTTATTTACACCCCTAGTAACGTGAATGTCTTTATCATGACAAATTTTTTCATGTCATATTTAAATCAACATTAACACAATATCAATATAAATAGAAATAAATCACGTTTGTATCAACAACAACAAAATGACGACAACAAAAATAAATTCGTATCGTGTTATATGACTAGCAAATAAGATCAACAACTACATGGAACTTATAAACTGAATTAGTGATTTTTTTCAAGCGGAGAGAAAAATAAATAAATAAATAATAATGAGAAGAAAAACCTTTCCAAGCCAAATTTAGGCAAGCTGGGACGAAGACGCAGAGCTTTATACAGTAGAGGACACCAGTCCTAAACGTGTCACAAATCTAACTACTTGACGGTGGGATCTAATTGACCAATTGCATGGTACTCCACGATCCATCTTTAAATCACGACTCTTTTTGCCAAACCAGTAGTCAAGTTTTCATCATTGACCAACAAAATAAGACCTCGTAATCTGCTGTTCCTCTTGGACCTGAAGGATGTGGTAATGTGGTAATGTGGAATAATACTAGCCATACATACTTTATATAAATTAATTCATGTTTAATTTGATTTTATTATTTAATTATAATTAATTTATATATTTTTTATACGTTCACATTTTAATTTGGTTACCTAACAAAAATGTAATGGAATATACTTAATACTGAAATGCACAAGCGTTAAGCGGAAAATTTTTGCAACCTCCATAGCGTCGTCACGTTGCCATAAAATATTGTTCATGGCTAAACATTCATCATATATTTCGATTTATGATTAGGTTATACGTGAAGTGACACGTCACACGAGACACATCACACGTGCCACATATTATTAACAACACATAATCGTTGCATGTGATTATATATATCATAGTTGATTTAATAATAAAAGGATCTTCTTCCAAATGAAATTACAATTACAAAATATAAGTGTCGTGTAAATGGCTATCGCTCATTCCAAATACCGTCACTGCTCAAGCATAGTTATACAATTACAAAAATGTGTCAACGATGAAATGATGGTAGCTCAGTTGACGCATTAGAGCTAAGCAGATGAAGGTGAGAGCAGTAGCGGAGTTGGCCCAAAAATTTAGGCGGTGCTAAAAAATTTAACATATCAAAATATTTATTATAATTACACAAATTTATTAAAAAAAAAATTTACTATGAATTCTAACATAGTTATCTAAATTATGTACTAAATAATATCACATAATATTGAAAATTCAAATGAACAATTGTCGTTGATTATATATCAAAGCAAACATATAAAAATGCATTAACATTTTCGGTAAACATTTCAAACATAAGAATTTCACTTTCTTCCCACAACATAATAAGTAATGAACCAAATATTATCTTAAGGATATGAAAACATACAAATATAATAATTATATGTATAATAAGCATTGTCCGTCGTCTCCTCTTTCATTATCTCTATTCCTTAAATTTTCAATATCTCACGTTAGAGAACATCACACTTGTTTGCAACAATCATAAGCACGATGGAAAGTTCTCACATTTGGGAATTAGGTTTTTGACTATTCTTTATGTGTGCAATAACCCAAAACACAATAGTTCAATGGACCTTCATATTTCATAATTATAGTGTTGTTATTCATTTGGTTTCATGATTGTTACTTTCAAGAATTAAGTGTTTGTCCTTTTAAAGGACACAAATTGTGTCCTTTTAGTTTTTAACACTATGTCTTACCGGTAAGACATAGTTATAACATAAAAAATTATTTTTTCTCTCTCCACGTCAGTTGAAGTGACGGAGGAAATAGAAAAAAAAAGTAATTGTTTATATTATAACTATGTGTTTTACCTGTAAGATATAGTGTCAAAAATTAAAAGGATACAACATTGTGTCCTTTAAAAGGATAAACCTTTTTTCCTACTTTTAAATGGATTTGGTTTAGTTGGATTCAAATTTTGAAATAGGTCGATTAATCATTTTTGTGATTAAGTTTAGAAGTCTTTCTTTTTTAAAATAATAGGAGTAAGAATAAATAACATAACTAATTAGAATAAAGCAGAAAAAAAAAACAAATATACAGGATAAAATATAAAAAAAAGAAGATAAAACACAAAAATAACCATACTATACATGTTCCTTATTATTTGTTTGCATTTAGATAGTTTGTTGTTACTTTGTATTGAGTATTTGATTTTTTACTTAGGTGGTGTCAAATTATAATTTTTACCTTAGTTAATTATAATTAATTATATAATAAGTAAAATAAAATAAAAAACAAGCAGGTGCCAACTGCCAAGGCACGCTTAGACGTGGCTACGCCAATGGGTGAGAGTATGTATTTGATTTTTTTCAGTACCATCTTTGAGAAGGGTTTAAAGTATTAATCGCCCTGAACAGGATTAAGGAGGATACACGTGATTTATCCAAAAAAAAATAATAATAAAATGATTTTATGTGTCTATATGCCTATTCCGTCTTGAATTTGTTGATATCTTCTTCTTTCACATTTTTCAATTTGCCAAACCAATACGATAACATCATCTGACTTTGGTGCATTGGAAATTAAATTCACAATCATGAAGTCGCACGGTCGTGGTAATTAGAACTCGGAGACTTGGCTTAGGGTTCTTTCATTTTATTGCATAAGGCAAAAACCAAATTTCCAAGAATTTGGTTGAGGTTGGTGCTGCATGAGATCACACAACCCAAATCAATTGCAGCCACATATATAAAGTGAGCCTATGTGTCGCATTCGATCAAGTTGATTACTGTTTTGTTTTGGGTAGTGAAGTCTCCTGAGTCACCAACTTTGCATAATTTTTTATATCCAAGAAAAAATAGCTTTGCATAATTTTTCTTTGGTAGGCGATTCCGGAGAAGATTTTTATCGACCATTCAAGAAAAACACTGCGTACGTATCTATCTTTTTTTATCGTGGTAGTATATCATGCATGTCAGTCACTCACCGTGCATATTTTTTCAATGTAATGGATTAGATTAGGAATGGCTTTCGTCGTCAAAAACATTGCGTGTTCAAAATCTTGGTTGATCTTTAATCCGTTGCAAAGAGGAAAAGAAGCTGTTCACCTATTACATATATAATTAACAATATAAATGCAAAACAAACATAACTTTGAAGATATATATATATATATATATATATAGGTAAGATACTTTGACACCGGTTCAAATTTCAATTTTGACACTTCATCTGAGAGCCGTTAAATAAAAAAAAATCAATGATGTCACATGCTTGCAAATCAGAGTCGTTGATCTTTTTTGATCTAACGGCTCTCAAATGAGGTGTCAAAATTGAAATTTGACACCGGTGTTAAAGGATCCTACCTCATATATATATATATATATATATATATATATATATATATATATATATATATGGGGCAGGATATTCTTACACCGATGTAAGAGTTAGAAGTCTTACCCTCAATCTTGACCATTGATCCACTTGTATCCAATGACTCACATTACTAAAAAATTAGAGCCCTTAGATATAAGTGGGATCAAAGGACAAGAATAAAAGTGTAAAATGATCCTCACCCTATATATATATATATATATATATATATATATATATATATATATATATATATAACTGTTGATTTTCGTCCATCTAACGATTATCTATAACAATTAGTTATTTATTTATTTCAAATAAATGATAACAGTTAGATGGACGGAAATCAACGGTTGAGATGGAGAGTAAGAGTTGTAAGTCTTACTCTAGAGTCAAAAGATCCCTCCTCATATATATATTGATGAGGAAGGATCTTCTTACACCGACGTAAGAGTTATTACTTTTACACTTAATCTTAACCGTTAATTTTTGTATATCTAACGGTTATAATTAATAATTAATTAATAAAAATAATCTATTTTTTTGTTACAGTCGTTTGACGAACAAAAATTAATGATTAAAACTGAACGTAAGAGTTATTACTCTTACACCGGTGTAAGTTGATCTGTTTCTATTTTGATATATTCATCAAAATAATCTCTAGGTAAATATTTATGTGATTTGTGACTATCCGTTTAGTGATATTCATAGAAAATTGCTGAATGATGTGTCATATATATATGGGATTCATATTATACTAATTGATTATCTAATTTATTTTATTTTATTTTTTTGGGAGAAAATTTCTTTTATTTAAAACTATTTATAGTCATTTGGAAGAAAAAAAGGTTGTATATATTGAGTTGTGAATAATTTTTTAATATGAATAAAATAACTCATTTATAACTCTCAAACTTTAAATAATTTAGCAATATATAATCAATGACGATTCAAAATTAAACTCATACAAAAGTGAATGTATTAATGGCATTGCAATATTTATAGGGTCAAGTTAAGGATTTAATATATTAAGAATATTAGTTGAGGAGAGTATTGAATAATTCTTATTAATTTTATTTTTTTTGTTGGAACTGGAAGATGAGGTTAATTTGTCGGCTTGTGTCCATATCAGTGGAGTTGCATTAGTTTTCATACTGGTCAAAATGCTTCCCATTTGATGGTCGGTATATGGCGGTGGACTTGTGTGTAGGGCATAGCATGTGGGAAGACCCGGAATAGCTGGGAATCCAGGATATCCAATCCATATCCCGAATTGCTAACGCTCCAGGTTTAACGGTCATATTTTTTTAGCCGTTGAGGTCTCAATATTTAAATACCCCATTCAAATGCTCCTCACTGTCACTGACACAAATATCCTTCAAAAGGAAAAGAATTTGATTATCCCTACTTAATTAATAGAATAGAAACAGGAATTATGATTATCAAAACTTAAACAAACATTAAAGAACACTAACCACTTTTCACTATAATAATTAAATGTAATACATTTTTACTATTAAATATTTCTACTATTAATCTACTATCAATCTTCTCATAATAATTAAAGAATTAATATTTATAGAAAATAATTTTATCTCGTATACATATAAAAGTATATGAAATTCATATAATAAAATGAAAAAAAAATATAAACCTATATAATTTTAAGATTTTATTAATCTCATGTCATAGGAAAAAAATTCTCTCATGCTATAGAGATAATTATATATAAGATCCACTTACTTATAAAAAAAATACAAAAAATTATATATATATATATAGGAGAAAAAAATATTCTCTTATAATATAAGTATATATTTTCCATACTTTTACGCATAAAAATACCTCCTAACATATAAATATAAATCCCAACAATTAAATTGAAGCGAAAATATAACAAAGTCTTGAAACATCTCGAGATGTTTACACAATGGAAATTGCTGCGTTCGATGCCGCTGCAGGGTCTCTGATTGTTACGTCTCATGAGATTATGCAAGAGGCTCACATAGTCCTAAGCAAGTTGCAGAGTACAGTGACACCGCTCAATTTTGTTGCCGACTTTAGCTAGTAACGTGCATTTTAGTACACTTTAGTTTGCTTAAAGGGGGATATTGTATACGAAAATTATTGTAAACCATTTTATTTTGGTTAACAATGATTACATTTTTAGTTAATAATGTGTATAACTTAATTAACAAATTAATGGAAAAGTTATATCTACTATCTCTTTTTCTTATTTTTTTTACTATCAAATTTTAACAGTTAATTTCCGTCAATCTAACAATTATAATTTATTAAAATTTAATAATTAATTAATAAATATGACTTAATAAATTATAATCATTAAATTAACAAAAAATTAATAATTAAAATTTAATAATTAGAGAAAATAAAAAAGAGATTAGTAAGTATAACCTCAGATTAATATATGAATAACAAAAGTATGAGAGTAACAGCTTTAGAGGATTAAAAAGAGCTTTAGTGTTGTACTTACCAACCCAAAGGCCACAGTGGCCACTCGCATTTCAACGCTTTCCCAGAGTGTCCTCAGTCTTAATCGAACGGTCAACATTTCACCACGCAGAGACGCACCTCAAGCCTGCAATTATAGTTATAAATACCCTCTCTTCTCTCTGAAAATTGGTAGCATTCGAATATCACTGTAAAGGTAAGTTCAGGTTATACAAACACAAACCCATTTCCAGAAAAAAAATTAAAAAACTGAAGAAAGAAAAAGAAGGGAAAATGAGTTTCGTGTCTGTGAAAATGATTCTAATCTCTACTGGGATTTTATCCGTGGCAATGGGGTTGAAGCTAACGGTACCTGTGGTCTCGCATTTCATCATCTCCGAAGCTCCTTCAATGTGGAGCTTCTTCCTCACATGCTTCACCCCTCCTTATCTCTACATACTCCTCAACTTCATCATCCTCACCATCCTCGCTTCCTTCAAGTTCCACCACTCCACACATGACACCACCGAACCGCTTATTTACTCCGCCGCCTACGACGGAACACTCGCAGCGGTTCACATCCATGCTCCTGAACCGGTCAAGATCTCCGGCGCTGCGCAATCGGACTACCACAGCGTCGATTCTGATGTATACGTTTACGAAGCGAAAACGACTGGTATCAGCGACGATACAGCCGCGAACGGTGACGGTTTTGTTGGTTACGTTTACGACGAGAATTCGCCGGTGAAAACGATTGTTATCGCTGACGATACAGTCGAGAACGGTAACGGATCTGTTGGTTACGTTTACGACGAGAATGCACAGGTGAAAACGACGGTTATCGGCGACGAGGCCGTTCTCGCCCCGAGCTTGCAGAGGAAAGATTCGTTGCAGCTCGCGTTTCACGATGAGAACGAGAAACCGCCAGTTTCCGCAAGGTTCAGCCACCGGAAAACCGGTAGAACCAGCCCCGAAGGTACCGTTAGCGTAACCGTTTACTCTCTCTCTCTCTCTCTTTCTCTGGTTTTTGAAATTTGAAATTGAAAAAAATAAAATAAAATAAAATAATGAAACTGAATTTGATTGTAACTGAATTTAGTTGTGTTGTTTTGTGTGGTGCAGGGGGGAAGGTGGTTGCGTTGGGAGTGGCGAAGTCGAAGAAGCAGGACACGCTGGAGAGCACGTGGAGGACGATAACGGAGGGGAGAGCCATGCCGTTAACGAGGCACCATAAGAGGGCCGACACGTGGGACTCCCAGCCGCGTCGGAACGCAGTGCCGTTAACGGATCTGAACGGCGGTAATGCCGCCCCTGTCATGAAGAAGTCGGAGACGTTCGCCGGCAGGGAGAAGAGCGTGTCGCCCGGTTCCGGTGGGAAGCTGAGGAAAGAGCCGTCGCTGAGTCAGGACGAGTTGAACCGGCGAGTGGAAGCTTTCATCAACAAGTTCAACGCGGAGATGAGGTTGCAGAGGCAGGAATCGCTGAGACAGTACCGTGAGATGATCAATCGCGGGGCTCGGTGACTGATCCACAGCGCAACGTTCATTGTTGTTCTGATTGTTCTTTGTTACCCTCCAATTTGGGGGAAAAAATTAAATTAAGAGTCAAGTTCAATCACGGCGGTGATTAACTAAGGTTTTGGGTAAATTAATGGAGGAATAGATTTTGTTATGAAACAGTGTTTGGGATAGAATCACAAATTTAGTTTAGTATGGTTTATTATGGAGAAAATGTTTGGGGATATTTTCAATTTCCAGCAATTGGAATTTTTTTTGTTCCTTGTTTTAATTTTACAATGTTAATAGTTTAATTGCGTATTGTTTTTTATTCAATCTTCTGATTCCGAATGCTGCAGGAGAACTTGAACATCTTAATGGACTTGGATGGAAATTACTATGACTGAGTGTAATAGTAATTGATGATGTCTTCTTTTACATATATTTAGTTTGAATGAATTTTTTAACAAGTAATTAAAAGAAGCACAAATTTTTTCAACTAAAAGTTTAAAGTTCTTAAAATAAAGAAAATTTTAAAGGAAAAAACTTGATCCAAACCAGTATGTAATTTTTTTGTGGGTAGGGGGCGGCGTTTCACAAGATGGACTTTTTAGTATAATGTGGTGTATGAGGCAAGTTCTGTTTAACGCAAGCCATCTCGATCTCGCCATAATACCAATGGTCTAATAAATGAGGTGATGGCGTTGGCACATGAGATATGATGACTTGGGGAATATTATTAGATAATGGTCAAAAGTAGTGATAACCTCAAAGTGTTTGCCTCCTCTCATTCATTCATCTCTTCTGAGAAACAAAGGAGGAAATCTGTATATGCACAAAACTACAAGGTTTACCTCTTAAACAAGATGGATTATAAAGCAGTACACTAGCACAAGAAGTCACGTTTCTTGCTTTGTGGTGGGAGATTAAAGAAGGTTCCACATTTTTCTTTAGTGTGAGGGTAATTCTCAGAGTCAAAATTGTCATCATAATAATACCCCACATTATGGCTATACCTTAAAACAAAAACATTATTGATATTGAGTAATGATGTCATGTCACATCACTGTGCAAATTGAAAGCCATGCTTAGCAAAGTAATCTTATCTACTACTACGGCTTTCCTAGTGAAACGTTAAAACATTCTGAGATCAGACATTAATGAATTGAATTCTTGCATTTATTTCAGAAGTTGGGGACCAGGCTTATGGATGGACATGGGAATCAATTTTCAACGCCTGAGTGAATCAGGTATATGGAGTTTAAGGAAGGATAGAAAACTGGACTGTTTTAAAAAAGGCCCTTTCTTTCACTACTTTTTATCATGCTCTTCTAGTTTGAAAAATGACTGCATTAAAGTTGAATTTTTTTTTTTTTTTTTATAAAAAAGAAAAGCAGCAAGAAAGACGTGTGTTATAATTTTCACCGTATGCAGAGTTATTGCTAATTTATAGCAGCTTGAAACGTTTGTCAGCACAATAAATCCCAGCTCAAGCCCTCTGCAGTTCCATCAAACATCAGAAGAAGTTGACATCATGGCAGCGGAAAGGGAAACCATGTTAGATGATTTATGGTGTAATTTGTTGCAAGCTCAAGATATAATGCGTCTTCACAGAGAAAAGTATAAAAGGTATGTGTAGTTTCAAGTTGGGGACTCGTTTTACTTCAAAATCCAGCCTTACATACTAAGATCACTAGCTAAGAAGGTGAATAAGTTATTACAAAAAAAAAAAAAAAGGTGAATAAGAAGCTGAGTCCTTGTTTTATAGTCCTTGACAGTTGAGAATATCTCAACTAATTTGTAACTGAATTGGGTGGGCTGTTATCAGTTGGGAATATTCCAACTGAATGATATACCACCAATTATATATTTTGGCAATACAGTTAGGGGAAGGAGGGAAGATATATATAGAGGAGAGGATAGACAAGCTGAGCAGGTTAATTCTCTAGAGCATCGATGTTAGCACGCTTGTAACTCTTCTTTCTCTTCTGCAAACTAGACTATTGGGGCTTGTTTGGGAGTAGGTTTTAGGAGGGAAAAGAATGGAAGAGAAGGGTTTTATTAATCTCTTCCCTTATTTGTGAGTTTAAAAAAATGAGGGAAAAAATTTGTGGATTTTCACAAAGCCCTCCAAAACCCTTCTTGTTCTCAAAATTAAAGTTTTCCCAATGTGGGATATTAACTTTCATACAAGGGAAGAGAATACCCTCCACTTTTCTTCCCTTTCTCTCCCTTGAATTCCTTTCCTTCCCTTCCTCTCCAAACTCCCAAACAATGCCTTACTGTACCGAGAAAGGGTGTTCAATACAGATCCAATCTTTTTCTTCATTTTCTATATGTTCTTGTAACATCACTGGGCTGACGAGGGTGGGGAGTAATCGCTGGTGCAAAAGAGATGAGACACGGACAAGGAGTGGTTCCTGATAGGCTTCTAGTTAGAGGAGTACATGAATGAATCGAATCAAAAACACCTGAACGAGAGAGATACAGAGATTGTATAGTTGAAGATAACTTAAAGGAATTAATAAGTACTACCTATACTAACAAGATGCATATACTTTTCGGTAACCCATAACTTAAGAACTCTATAGTTAAGCGTGCTTGACTTGGAGCAATTTTAAGATGGGTGACCTCCTAGGAAATTTCTTGAAAAGTGTGTGAGTGAAGACACAGCATGCTGAAAAGTTTCGTGTTAGTTTGTGGGAATAGTCATTGATCTTACAAGCGGCCGGGTGTTACAATTCTCTACCAGTATCTCTCGTAGTACCCGTAGACACCATATTTTGTCCGAAAAAGAACAAAAGAATAAAAATAAAACAATCCCATCACTGATGTATCTTCTGCAATGGAGGTTGGGCACTGTTACAAGCAAATCATGTTCACGTCTGAGATTGGGGAAAACAGAAACCAAAAATAGGAGGGTGAAGAGATGTTCATATATGGTTTGAATATGGTACTCTTCCAATACATCAAAGAATACACTTTTTCCTATTACCCACCATATAATATCAGGAAATCTCTTCCTTTTTCTTCATCTATAAAAACCAGAAACGCATAACACAAAAGGACCTTTTTTTTTTTTTTTAGCTTCTTATTACTCTTTAAGAAAGGAAAATATCAAGTTATTAACTCTAAGAAATAATTCACAAGTTATAAATATGATGCATTAGATTCAGAACATCAATGTACTAAACAATATAATTCAGAGAACTAGAATTGTCAATAATCACAAATTCTTACTTTGTGGAGTATATGGACTCACCTCCGTGTACTTCTTTGGTAATGCAAGACGTCCATTCTTGGGTTCAGCATCAGTGAAAGTCAATACTTTGTTGAATGAACAAATGAATAATTGTAGAAATTGAATGTAAAATAATATGTTGTGTATTGATCTGTGTCAGAGAGTTACAATATATAGAGACCCTAATGGGCTTAAGTGAAAGGCCCAAACCTAATGCAATCCTAATACAATCAGAATATTTACGGATAAGACTGAATCCAATCATATCTAATCATATCATATCTAATATTCTAACTAATCATATCATATCTAATATTCTAACACTCCCCCTCAAGCTGGTGCGTATATATTATGAGCACCAAGCTTGTTACAAATGTATTCAACCCGAGGACCTCTAAGAGCTTTAGTGAAAACATCTGCTAGTTGATTAGACGAGTTGACAAAAGTTGTCTTGATTTCTCCTGACTGGATCTTTTCCCGAATGAAGTGACAATCAATCTCTATATGTTTGGTCCTCTCATGAAAAACAGGATTAGAGGATATATGTAGCGCAGCTTGATTATCACAGATGAGTGTCATGGGTTGTTTCTGTTCACAAAGATGAAGCTCCTGAATCAACTGCTTTAACCAGATCAACTCACAGGTAGTATTTGTCATTGCACGATACTCAGCTTCTGCACTAGATCGGGAAACAACAGGTTGTTTCTTGCTTTTCCATGAGATTAAGTTTCCTCCGAAGAAGACACAATAACCAGAAATAGAGCGTCTGTCCGAGGGTGATCCTGCCCAATCGGCATCTGAGTAACCACAAATTTCTGTATTTCCCTGATCCGAATACAACAAACCTTTTCCTGGTGCTCCTTTGATGTATCGGAGGATCCTCATAGCAGCATCCCAATGTGAATCACAAGGGGAATTAAGGAACTGACTAGCCGTACTGACAGCGAAAGAAATATCTGGCCTAGTCACAGTAAGATAATTGAGCTTCCCAATCAGCCTTCGATAACGGCTCCCCTTGTCTGGGCAATAACTTAACATTAGGATCCATGGGTGTATCAACTGGTTTACACCCCAACATACCAGTCTCTTCTAGGATATCCAAGGCATACTTCCTTTGACAGATAGAAATGCCATGTCTAGATTGCGCCACCTCAATTCCCAAGAAGTAACGCAGCTTCCCAAGGTCCTTTGTTTGAAATGCACTGAATAAATGTTGTTTTAACTGACGGATTCCGTCTTGATCACTTCCGGTGAGGATGATGTCTTCAACATAGACTAACAAATAGATGCACTTGTTAGGAGATGTAATTCTATAGAATACAGAATGGTCAACTTTACTGCGAATTAGGCCAAACGCCTGTACAGCAGAACTGAAGCGACTGAACCATGCTCGAGGAGACTGCTTGAGACCATATAAGGATTTTCGAAGACGACATACCTTCCCAGACTCCCCCTGAGCAACAAAACCAGGTGGTTGCTCCATGTAAACTTCTTCTTATAAATCACCATGAAGAAAAGCATTTTTTATGTCAAGTTGAAGGAGTGGCCAGTGACGAACAGCAGCAAGGGCAATAAATAGGCGAACGGACGCCATCTTAGCGACTGGAGAGAATGTATCGCTATAATCAAGACCAAAGATTTGAGTAAAACCCTTGGCAACTAGGCGTGCCTTGAGACGATCAACATGGCCATCAGGTCCAACTTTCACAGTAAACACCCAGCGACAACCAACTATAGACTTTTCTGGAGGAGCAGAAACAAGGTCCCAAGTGCCATTGGTATGAAGTGCGGTCATCTCATCAAGCATCGCTTGGCGCCATCCTGGATGGGAAAGTGCTTCACCTATGGTCTTAGGAATAGAAACAGAAGAAAGACTAGAAACAAAGGTGAAATGAGGAGGAGAAAGGCGATCATAGCTCAAGAAGGTATAAAGATGATAAGGGTTACGAGTAGTACGTGTACCTTTTCTTTGAGCAATGGGAAGAGCTTCT